CCCTTGTACCACTACCAGGGCTGATGTGAGCCAGAACACCCATGGAACCAGTCTCTGTGCCACTTAAGTTAACTTTGCTTTCTCTAGGTGTAGAAAGGGCCAACTATATGTGGGCCTTTTGGACAAAAAGTCTGTAAGAACTATTCAATGGCTTTATAAGAAAGCTTCTAAGGGGCAGCTAGGTGGTGCAGTGGATAGAGCACCGTCCCTGAAGTCAGGAGGACCTGAGTTCAAATCCAACCTCAGACCAAACACTTGACACTTATTAACTGTGTGACCCTGGGCAAGTCACTTAATCCCAATTGCCTAAAAAAGAAAAGAAAGCTTCTGAGATTCTCTCCACTTATGGATACTCCTTGTGGGTTGGCTTTAGCTGAGGGAAATTATATGTGTTTTGAGGAAAGTATTTTTCTCGCTGAGCCTTCAGGCTCTGGATTGTCCATTGTAGCATTTATGGTACCACTTCTGGGACAAGTGGTCTTGTGGGTGGAAGCTTAGATTTGGAGTCAGGAAATCGAGTGGCTGTTTCTACGTCTGCTGTGTGACATTAGAGAAATAGGCTCCTTAAAAGTAGAGACAATGTCTTATTTATCTTTATAACCCTTGAAGAACCTAGCCCACCAGTAACTGAGTATTCACTCAATAATTGTTTATTCATGGAAATCATCAGTCTTTTCTTTCATAATCTTTAAAAGCATAATGATGCATTAATTGTTGAGTGGTCATGAGTCTTCTAAGGTCTTTATGTTTTATATAAATACATTTAAAATGCTTGACCATTTGGGAAACATAGAGACAAATTCCAAGTTGCAAATATTCAAGTATTTTAAAATCTAGTTTTTGGATTATACAGGCTCTTTGCAAGCTCCTTTCTTCACCCTTTGCTCTTCAAAAAATTATTATAACTCACAAGATCCAGCTAACCTTTCTATCCTTAATGTATATAATTATGTATACATATAATGTATACCCCCCTTCATGAACTCTTTCAGTGAAACTGGATATCTTTCTGTCCCTCACATGGCATTCTACCTTCTGCCTCCATATTTTTTGCATAGGCTCTTCCTGATTACTGGAATGTATTCCTTCTTCACCTCCACCTCTTAGAATGGAGATTTTCCTTAAAAGCTCAGCTCAAGTGTCATCTCCAACATCAGGCCTTTCCTGGCCTCTCCACTGCCAGTGCCCCCACTCACCAATTTACTTAATGTTTATTTTACGTATATTTTGCACATAGTTATATGTATACATATTGTCTCCCCTGGTGGAGTGGAAGCTCCTTGAGGTCAGGGACTATTTGATTTTTGACTTTGTACCCTTGGTCTAGCAGAGTGCTTGGTATATAATCAGCACTTACTAAATGCTTGCTAACTGCTTGGTAAGGCACTTTTTAACCCTTTTCCACTTGTATCCTTTTTTCATCAACAAAAGCAACTTGTTGAAGAAAAACCATTAAAAAAAACTACTGTATTCTCTTAAGTCAAGAGTTTTTAATCTTGGATCCATGGTCTGTGGATAGTTTCCAGGAGGCCCATGAACTTGGATGGAAAAAAATTATATCCTTTCATCAACCTTTGATGTCATTTGTATTTCTATGTAATTTTATTGTATGCCTTTAAAAATAGTATTTATGAGAAAGGGGTCATGGGCTATAACACACTGCCAAAGAATTCTGACACACAAAAAGGTGAAGAACCCCTGTCATAAGAGTTCTGATACTACCCTATCATCCTATTTTGGAAAATCAGAGCTATATCTTCAAGGTAGTAGACAACTTCCTTTCAACTAGCCCTTTAAAATCAAGTTATTTCCTAGGTGTTCTTAATCATTGCTGATTCTCTGTGGATTTTATTTTCTGGGGGAGGGAAGTGTGTGTCTTTGTGTTTGGAAATGTTTGTTATTTCAGAGAACCTTCTGAAAAAAGGGGGCTAGAGAAGGAAACTTACATGTGATACGTACAATCAATGGAGAAACAGAAAGGTCATGAGTATTGGGGTGAGACCACCGTGAGAAAGATTTTGTGAATTGAAAATTCTGTTCCTGATCTGAGAGCTCTAAAAGACAAGTTAATGGGGTACAGTAGAAGGAACCTTGGATTAAAATCCAAGGGTATCTATCTGCTATAATTGGCTGTGTGATTTGTAGCAGGAATGTGCTGGAGCCAGCTCCAATCAGCTCCAAGAGACAATTGTTAAGTTTTTAGTGCAAGAATTTGCACCCTGCAAATCAGCAAATCTATCAATTAGAGTTTGATTTATTGTTTTGATGATTGTTTAAGATTAAGAATGTGATGGAGAAAATGCTAATAATGCAGATTAAACCTAAAAGTGTGTCTTGGGTAATTCCTTCCCTCTCCCTGCCCCCTAACTTTGTTGCTAAACGTTTACCAGCACACCTCTAGTTTTAAGGGAGGCCTTAGAGCTCTTTTAAGAAACTCAGGACATTTGGAAGACATCGCTCTGGGCCTTACTTCATTAGTAAAATAAGAAAGCTGGAGAAAGTTTAGGGACTTTTTTTTCTTTGCATCCCCAACACCTAGGAAAAGCCTGGCACATGTTGCAGTGAATTGAATGTGGCTAGATGATTTCGTAGTTCCTTTCTAATCCTGAAATCTAGATTCCATGAAATTACGTACATTTTGTTTCCTCAGAGCAGGGGCTATCTCCTTCTCTGCTGCTTACAAACATATCCATGACTCCCCTGGCCCTAAAAAAACAACCATCACTTGATCCTACCATCCCTGCTAGCTATAGTCCCATATCTTTCCTCCCTTTCCTATCCAATCTACACTTTGTCCATTTTCTTTCCTCTCACTCTTTGCTAAATCTTTTTTTTTTGCCATCTGGTTTCTACCCCTATGATTCAACTGAAACTTCCCTTTCCAACTTTATGAGTAATCTCTTAATTGCCAGAGCTAATGGCCTTTTCTCTATCCTGATTCTTCTTGATTTCTCTGTGTACTTAACCCTGTTAATTACGTTCTCCTTCTGGATACTTTCTCCTCACCAGGTCTTCTCTCTTCTGGTTCTCCTCCTATGTGGCCAACCTGTTTTCTATCCTCTTTGCTGGTTCTTCGTTCAGGTCATAGTCACTAAGCCTGGATGTGTCCCAAGGCTCTACCTGATCTCTCTTTCTCTTCTCCTGCGATACTCTCTCACTTGGTGATCTCATCAGCTCCTTTGGGTTCAATTATCATCTCTAGGCAGAAGATTCTTCCACATATCCAATCTTACCCTTCCTTCTAAACTCCTGTTCCACATTGCCCTTCAGAAATATTGAATTTGGATGTCCCATAGGCATCTCAAACTTGACATATCCAGAGTAGAACGAATGCTCTTTCCACCTCTTCTAAAATCCCTATTACTGTGTAGGGTGCTATTATCCCTCCAGTCACCCTGGCTCACAACCTCACCATCATCCTCAGTTCCGGTCACCTTACATATCCAACCTGTTTTCAAATCTTGCTGTTCTTATCTTCACAGTATCTTTTCTGTACATTCCCTTTACTTCACTCATCAACCTCATCCCCTGTCTCCCAGATACTAGACTTTTTAAACTGGTTTCCTTGCATCATGTCTTTCTACCCTTATCCGCTCCTCCACTCAGCTGCCAAAGGTGATTTTTCTAAAGTTTGGAAACCTCTGACATTTCATTGAGGTTTATTGAGCTCCTTTTATTCCCTCCAGGATCAGACATAAACTCCTTTGGCAATTAAAACTTTTCATAGCCTGGCCCTTCTTACACTTCCAGTCTTCTTATGCCTTCCTCTCTTCCATATGTTCTATTCTAACAACACTGACCTACTTACTAAGTTCCTCCAATAAGAAGCTCTATCTCCTATCTCACAGCCTGCCCTGACTGTCCCCCAGGCCTGGCATATTCCATCCCCTCACCTTTGTGCCTTTTAGTTTCCCTGACTTTCTTCAAGGCTAATCCCAAATCACTTGCTCTCTACGCTTGCAGCTACTAATTCCATCGCCTCTCAGAGTGCCTTGCATTTACTATGCGTGTATCTTATATTTAACCTGTAGTTTGCAAATTGCCTTCCCCATTAGAATGTAAGCATTTTGAGGGCAAGATTGTCTCTTACCTTTTTTCATATCTCTAGAACGCAGCATAGTGCCTGGCACATAGTAAGCCTTATTAGATGCTTATTGACTTCATTCAAGTATCTTTATTTTAAGAACTGTGTTTACGGTATAAAGTGAAAAAAATGATTTTGTTCAAGGAATTGAGAGAAACTGGGAGTATGTAGTTAGGAAGGGCTTTGATCTGAACTTTCATTCATGCATTAAGGAAATATGTAACATTAAAATAAGTTATTTGTAGACAATATCACCTGAGATTCACTGCGAAGTAATTTGCAGAAAACTCAAAACCAAGAGTAATACCTGAAACATTCCCCAGTGCCTGAATATGCACCACAAAATTAATGTGTTATTCACTGAAGTGAATTTTCCCCTACTTTGTTTTAGGTTTAAAATGGAATTAATCTGACAGTTTCCTTTTATAAATCTTAGTGAGACATATTTCAAGTTTGGAAAGCTCCATTAACTCTTTTCAGGCCACAAGGGTACTATTCAGTACAGGGTTGCTTGGTTGCTACCAATAAAAATGAATTCCTTACTCACTGATGCATTTAATGTGCAACCATCTAAAACGTGCAGAAGTACTCATGGTCGCCTTCCCAACCTGGTCCATTTCTATCAATCTGTACATTTTTGCCTTGTGTTACTATAGCTTTAGGTCTACAAAAGCAGTGAGTTCTATGGCTTGGAGATTCATCTTTGCAGTCTAGACCTATGGCCAGTTTCTCTAAGGCTGCTGCATGCTTCTTTGAAAGCTGTAATACTTCTTTTCAAGGTGACATTTTGATGTTCAGTTGTGATCAAATTAATAAATTTATCAACTTAGATTATTTTTTTTCTGGTTGTATGTGCACGGTATATGTAGATTTTAAACTAGCAATGCTGAAACTGAAAGTGTGTTTTCTCTGGCAGGCATTTGATATACTTGGAAGAGTTGAGGGTTGCCTTAAGCTCCTTAAATCTGAGGGTTTAAGCCTGCCTGTCTTGGCAGTGAGGCATGAGGAATTACATCGAGAAATTAAAGACTGCACGGGGGATGCTTTGCAGAAGGGACGAGTTTTAATCAGCCAAGGAGATTCCTGCAGGTGAGTTAAGCCTGCTTCTTTCTCAATATGACAGGCTTTTTCACAGCTTCCACAAACCTGTTAAAAAATAATCTGGTGTGATTTTGTATATTTCGGACATTTTGCTGCATAATGACATGGCTTAAAAGGATTCTATTTAAGTTAGGACAGGCCCATTTCTGGGGACAGTACATCTCATCTAGGCTGGAAGCCAGCCTGAGAACCTGCAGGCTGCTACCAATGCACGAGCTGTCTGGTGAGGATTCTCTGAGAGGGGGCAGAAGACATGCAAGCAGAGCAGCACTGGTTAATTCTTCCCATTATAGATTGAGAGATTTAGAGTTGAAAGAGACCTTAGAGTTAGTTTAGACTAACTCCCTTATTTGACAGGTAAGGAAACTGAGGCCCAGAGAAAATTACTGTCCAAGGTCATACAGGTAAAACGGAGTAGAATCCAAATTTGAATCCAGAATCTTTGGCTCCAAATCCAAATTTCTTTCCACTCTACCATATTGGTATGACTCCCATTTAGGTTCCTTCTTTATCTTCATCCTGTACTTTATACTTTTTTAAGACTTTTCTTTATATTCTTCCTGTGCACAGGACTGTGGCAGAATTTTCTCATGAGGTCCAGTCAATACTTCCATAGTGCATGTTTAGAGGGGTTTGGGGGTGGGGGAGAGGGAGAGGAATAGAGGTTCGTGGTACTGGAATTCTCTATTACTCTTCACAAAGGTGGGTCACCAAGGATATGTCCAAGTACGAAAAAGATCTGGAGGAAAAAAAGGTCTGATTCTACCAATGCAACCTCGAGGCCAGATTCCCCACCCCAAGTGCAGCCCTTGAGGGCCACATGTGGCCTCAATGTTACAGGTTCCGCACCCCTGCAACAGTCACGAAGGTAGAAAGAAAATTATAGAAGAAATTATGTGTTTACATATAATTATAAAAAGTAATTCAATCTAGCAAGTTTATTAAGCATTTACAATACATTGCGCTGTGTAGAGATAGGTAAATAGAAAGAAAGATAGAGAGACGACAGATAGATAGATAAAGTTGAAATATGCTACGATCCTTATGGAATTTACAATCTGTTAGTGGATAGGGCACATACAGCATGCCCCAAAAGTCTCAGTGCAGTTTAAAACTTCAACATTATTTAGCACAAAGACTTTTGGGATGTTCTGTATTTAAATAATTATATATACCCGGTAGTCCAACCAGCCAGGATTTTGCATGGACCCTCTCAGACTTGCCTTCAAATTATGGAATTCTCAGTGGTCAGTCACTCTGTACAAATCAACTTACAAAACAGGTTACTTCTAAAATTTCCAGTAAGTATTCAGTTGTTCTCCCTGCTAACAGATCTAATAAAGGAAGAGCAGTGAAATAATAAAATATTTTTCAAGACAGCAATGCATAACAAAGCAACAAAAAAAATCTCATCAAAATCTCCTGACAGATTGTAATCTCATCCCCCTCTACACTAGTAGTTCTACTGTCAAACATAGTTATTTTGCAAACTAACACCTCTAAGACTTACTGCTCCAAAAGGGAAGCCGTGGGCAAAGTCTATCTCTAGCTGGAACAAGGAGGTTGGAACCTTGAATGTGTATAGCCTGGTTTCCCTGCCATGGCTTTCCCACTTACCCACTCCTTTTACTTAAAAATCTTTCTTATATGGGATGGCTTAATGGTTATTCTGTTGTCCTCTTGGACTTACATCAGTGGCTACGGCACATGCAGGGTGTCCCAAAAGTCTTAGTGCCATTTAAAACTTCAACATTATTTAGCGCAAAGACTTTTGGGATACTCTGTATTTAAATAATTATATGTACCTAGACAGGCAGGATTTTGCATAAAAGAAGAAGAGGAACATATTTGAAAATGAAAGTGATATAAATACAAGGTCAATATCAATAATTTTTCGTTGTCCTGACAGTAGCTTCAGCTTGCTATTCATTACTTGCCTGCCTGCTGTTGTCTCCATGCTGATCCTGGATTGACATGCCTCTGGAAGCACTTTCTGCTCCACAAAGTCACAAACCCAGGAGAGCCACCTCCCCCTCCACCCGTCATTTATTTTCCCAGGAGGCGTCCTTTCTGTCCAAGGTCACAGTTAGCAAATTGCACAGTAAGAGATCTTTAATCCTCACATGATCTCCTGTCCTCGCACTATACTGGCAAGCCTTCTCTGGATATGCTCCAATTTTTCCAAAATCCTTTCTAGAATGTGCTCCAATTAAATATAATGATCTAGACGTGATCTGAGCAGGGCATGAGTACTGGGAATTATCACATCCCCTTTTCTAGAAACTATGTTTCTATTAATGCAAGTCTAAAATCTCATTAGCTTTTTGAGTTCCATTTCACACTGTGGATTCAAAGTCAAGTTCATTGACTTATAATTTGAAGGCTTCACTTTTTTTTTTCCATTTTTCAAAATTGGGATGCCACCTCTCTTCTTTTTAGATCTTTCATGGACCACTGGAGCATGGAACTCCCATTGCTTGTGTTCAGGATCCTGGGATGCTCTTTCTGGACATCAGAACTTGAACTCTTTGCTCTCTTGCCATCAACTTTTTTGAATTTCAATTCCCTGCTAACTTCTTGTTTTCTTTCCTGTTTCAAAGATTTCTTTCTTTGATGGGGAAACCAGAAGCAAAATATGAGTCGAGTAGTTCTACCTTCTCTCTGTTTTTTTTTTATTCACTGAATATTTCTCCTTTAATATTCTTCTTATTCTGCAAGTTGGTTTAAAAAAACTCCCCCCCTTTCATTTTTCAAGCATTAGCAACCTTAGCTCCTTCTGAGCACTGCCACTCCAGACAATTATCTTTATGTGCCTCTCTTTTAATTATCAGTTGCTTACCCTTGCTACCATCTGTTATATATGTTCCTTCTAGTTCTAAATCTATGGTCCTATGATACTTTTAAAATATTATTTTAAAAAGGAACCTAATCAATTTCTTTGTGAATGGTCTCTCTTACCAGGATTCTTTTGGCCTTCTTTGCTTCTCCACTGTACCTTATTTCTTTACTGTCCTTTAGACAAGCGATTTTGTTTGCAAAACTCAAAATTTAACCCAAAACTGACTCTCATATTAAAACAATCCTACAGTAAAAGCTATCACTTCACTGATAAGCTTTCTAAACTTGTATTTAAAATATTCTATGTAATGACTTCAATTTAGAACCTGTGACTGATATCAACTGTAACCTAAATGAAAGCTAAAACAGACTCACACCTGGTATGATATGAAGAGCTAGCACTTTTTTTTAGTGCTTTAAGGTTTAAAAAGTGCTCTATACATATTATCTCATTTTTCCCTCCCAACAAACCAAAGGTAGTTACTATCATCCCTATTTTACAGATGAGGAAAGTGAGTCAGCCAGAAGTGAGTGTTCAGGTTAGGATTTGAACTCAGGTCTTTCTGACTCTAGGTCCAGTACCACCTGTTATTCAGTCATATCTGACTCTTCCTGACCCCATTTGGGGTTTTCTTGGCAAAGATACTGGAGTGATTTGCCATTTCCTTTTCCAGCTCATTTTACAGACAAGGAGACTGAGGCAAACAGGGTTAAGGGACTTGCCCAGGGTCATACAGGTAGTAAGTGTTTCAGGCTGGATTTGAACTTAGGAAGATCAATCTTCCTTACTCCAGGGCAGGAACTCTATGCGTTATAGCACCACCTAGTAGCCTCCTAAAGTATAAACAATTGCTGGTGATAGGTTGATCACCAGTATAGGGCTAGTCTCATCATATTCACCTGTGCTGAGCCAATCAGATGCTAGAGAGTAGCTTACTCTCCCTTTCTGGCAGCTTCATCATTACTCTAAACAACAAATGGTTAATTTTTTAAAACTCAAAGTTTAGTTTGGAAGTCAAGTTCTAATCCCCACATAGTCTGTATTTTTGAGGATGTTTTCAGGTTTGGAAATTCATGTTGGAGTATAAAAGGACTTTAGTTTGATCAGGTGGTCCCTCTCTTATCATCTCCTTTGCCCTTTGTCATCTTTATGGCTACCTTTACTTTTATTTCCTTCTATAAAGGGCCTCAGTTACTTGCTTTAGGCTGCAGTCTGGGAGGAAGTTGAATGCTGATCTAGTCTTAAGAGAGAAACAAAGAAAGAAATAGAAGGAGATTTCAGGAAGCATAAATTAATGTTTAGTTAACTGGAATTTTGTTTTTCCTGGAAGTTGCCATTCTCCACCCCACTCCCAATACCAAACAATTCATCTTTTTCTACTTTTCTATGCTACATTTTTATTTACCTTGGAATTCTAAAGTGCTTGGCAAATCTGGACTGTTACTTTAATTTTTGCAAAAGAAGCTAACAGCAAAGTAAAATGGTAATTTGCCAATGGATGTATCTTGATTCAGAAGCTAGACTAGAAATAGAAATCCATTAGAAATTCAATAGAAATCCATTAGAAACTGAGTTGAAACCCAAAGCTTGTGATATAGTTTTTAATACTATGCTTCGGCTGTGTGTGGTTTAATTCTCTCTTGTCAGTTGACATATATATATATGCCTTAGGCAGTGTAGCACAGTACAAAAATTGTGGTTTTTGAAACAGGCCTGGGTACTATTTTCCGTTATTAATTGTAGGACATTGGGCAAATGACATCCCCTCTCTGGACCTGAAAGGTCTTATCTGTAAAATGGGAACAATAATATTTCCACTACCATATTTTTCTTTGTGGTTTAAGTATATATTTATACATATATTTTCATATACACTTAGCAACATAAACATAAGCAAGTTTCAGCTTCTAAATGGATTATGTTGCAAAAGTTCACTTGTATGTCATTTCACACTTGGAACATTTCGTAAATATAACGTTATACATACATGGGAGTTAGGTTACCAAGCTAGCCAACAAACACCAGTGGTTAATATTAATAACTATTTGACTCATCATCACAGGTAGGAAATTTGGCCAAACAAGGAAATGATTCCAAGTTGCAGCTACAAGAGAAGTGAGTGATAAGCTGAGAATCTGTAGCACAAAGG